TGAAAAACAAGATTTGCATTGAGGGCTAGAGCAGACAAGTTGTCGCTATGTAGAAGAGGAGCTTCAGGAACTATCATATGTAAATCGCATAAGACTTGGCGTATCCATGAGATATCTGCAGCACAATGAGCAAGTGCTCGATATTCTGCTTCTGTAGAGCTGCGAGAAACAGAAGCTTGCTTGTTGGAGGACCAAGATATTGGATTGGAACCAAGAAACACAACATACCCTGTGGTGGATCTGCGTGTATTGGGGTCACCAGCCCAATCCGCATCATAATATCCAGATAAGACCATGGATCCTAGAGAAAAAGTGACACCAAATTGCAATGTGCCTTACAGGTACCTGATGATACGTTTAACCAAGCTAAAGTGAACATCTGTAGGACTATGCATAAACTGACATACTGTGTTGACAACAAAAGCAATGTTTGGTCTTGTGAACGTCAAGTATTGTAGAGCACCTACAATGCTACAAAAGAGTGTAGGATCGGAAAGAGGAATACCTTCATCCTTTAAGACCTGATGGTGAGGTTTAGAAGGGGTGCTACGAGGCTTTCATGTATCCATAGATGCCTTTTTAATGAGGTCTCTAGCATATTTGGCCTGATTGACAAAGGTTTTACCTCCTGAATGGTATTGCACCTCAAGACCAAGGAAATATTTGAGCTTTCCTAGATCTTTAAGCTCAAATACTTCACCAAGGGCTTGAATAACAGATGTCACCAGTGGAGGATCAGAACTTGTGATTATGATGTCGTCGACATAAAGTAATAGAATTACAACAGTAGATTCAATTTTCTTCACAAACAGGCTGGGATCAGAGTGTGAAACTGAGAATCCTAAGGTAGGTAAATGCCTGTGAATTTTGCATTCCATGCACGAGGAGCTTGCTTCAGGCCATAGAGGGATTTTTGAAGCTTGCACACATAATCAGGATATTGAGAATCAACAAACCCTTGAGGTTGCTTCATGAACACTTCTTCTTGAAGCTCACCATGAAGAAAGGCATTTTTCACATCCAATTGCCGTAATTCCCACTGAAAATTGATAGCTAGACCAAGAATGAGACGCACAGTTGTATGACGTACCACAGGACTGAAGGTTTCCTCATAATCTAATCCATATTCTTGACTGAATCCCTGAGCAACTAATCTGGCCTTATAGCGAGAGTGCCATCTGCATTCTTTTTGATCTTAAAAATCCATTTACAACCCACAATATTTGTATTTGTAGGAGGAGGAACAAGAGTCCAGGTTCGTTGTTGATCAAGAGCTTGAATTTCTTCTGTCATGGCTTGTTGCCATGCTGGATGACCAAGAGCTTGTTTAAAATGGGATGGCGTGTCTGGTTCTGAAATGGAGATTAATTGAGTATGAAAGCTGGAAAATTCTGGGAATTGTTTAGGTTGCACAATACCAGACTTGGATCGAGTTTGCATAGGGTGATTAGAATGCACTTGTACAGGAAGCGTTGCTGAATTATCCATTTGTGAAGATGCAGACTCAAGAGGAAATAGAACTTCTAATTGTGCATCTGTGAAAACTGGCATCATCTGGTTATCATTAACTTGAGACCTGGAAGAAGAAGAATTGGTAGATGATGTAGAGGATGTAAGCACATGTGAATGAGATAACTGGGTTTGAGGCATAGAAGCCATAACAACAGCAACTGGTGTAGATCGAGAGGTGGAGATTGACGTTGATGACTGATTGTGAGTTGAAACTTGGGTTGTCTTATAGGGAAACACATCTTCATTGTGTATAACATGCCTAGAAATGACAACCTTCTGATTTTTCAGATCATAACACAGTACTCCCTTATATCCCATGGAATATCCCAGGAATATGCACTGATGGGATCTCGATTCAAGTTTATGAGAATTATAGGGACGCAACAAAGGATACATTGCAGACCCAAAGACTTTAAGAGATAGTAAATCGGGATGGCCACCAAACACCTTATAATATGAAGATAGCATATTAAGAACTCGACTTGGCATGCGATTGATCAAAAATGTTGCGTGAGTCACAGCATAAAACCAAAAGGGAAGAGATAACCCAGCTGTAGTTAATAGAGTAAGAGTAGTCTCAATAAGATGCCTATTCTTCTTCTCAGCCAATCCATTTTGCTGAGAAGTGTAAGGACAAGAGAGCTGATGAAGAATGCCTTTATTGGCTAGAAAATCTTTGAACATGTGACCAATATATTCACCACCACCATCGGATTGCAAAAACTGAACTCGAGCTTGATAATGATTCACAATATATGCATGAAACCTTATGAAAACAGATGAAACTTCTGATTTGTTGATCAAGGGAAATACCCACATGTAGCGTGTACAATCATCTATAATAGTGAGGAAGTATCTATAACCACCTAGAGCTGCAACAGTGGAAGAGCCCCAAACATCTGTATGTAGCTTAGTAAAGGGTCTAAGACTAGTGGTAGATGTGGAAGAAAAAGGCAATTTGTGCATTTTGCCTTGTAAACAAGAATCACACATCTCAGTAGTGGAATCTACAGACAAAGGAATATTAGAGACCTTTAACATGTGATGAAGAACATCATTGGAAGCATGGCCCAGTCGAAGATGCCACAGCTTGGTCTTGACTTGTTGACCTAAGAGTGTATGCGATCTTGAATCCCCTTGTTCTGCTGGAGGTAGATACAAGGCTTTATTGTTGGCTGCGTCTTTATTTGCTATGACAGGAATTGAAGAATCCAAGGGTGACTTGTGAATTTTGGAAAGTTGAGGGTGAATATGTGGAATGGGATAGAGCCCTTTGTCACTTTGACCTTTGTACAGAATCCTATGGGTTTGCTTGTCCTGCACATATATGTGATACTCATCAAATATAACATTGCAGTTGTTATCCTTACAGAGTTGGTACACAGATAATAGATTGGCAGCAAGTTTAGGAACATGATACACTTGTTTTAAGTGTAAAGTGCCTGGTAAGGCTGATAAAGTAGAATGGACAATATGGTCTATGCTCAGACCTTCCCCATTGCCGATAGTAATCTTGTCTTCAGAAGAGTAAGGGGCAGACGCTTGCAATTGATGCACATTGGGTGTCATGTGATGGGAAGCTCCACTGTCTGCTATCCAAAATTCATTTGGAGTATAAGGAGAGGACAAATTGGCTGTTATAGCTTGAAGAGACTGTGGAGGAGGAGCACCTTGATATGCAAAGTTGGCTCGGTGATAACAGTTCAATGCTATGTGCCCTTTCTTACCACAGATTTGACACTCAAGGATAGGTGTGGATGAGTTATCTGGAATCCTGTA